GACGCAATGTTACGTTTCCCCGTGGATGACATCACTGCACCGTTTACATCATGTGAGCTACATATTCCAAAAGAGAATGCCACAATCATGGTGGCTCTCGGTGTTTTTTCTCCTCCAGATCCTATCAAGACACCAAGAATCCATGGGGCAATAATACCACCTGGATATGTTAGCGTCTCAGTGAATAGAGTTAACAAAGGTTTTAGTGATCTGGCTCTTGACATTCCAGGAGATGATGGAGAGAAGACTCTAGGAGAAACAGAGAAGACATTCATACTATGACGCAAGCGCTACATCATTATTCCTGGGGTCTCTAGTCCGCCATCACTTCCTCAACTACCAGACAATAGGTGCGGACAAAAGTGAACGAAATAATTTTTTCACTAATTTTCTATTGACATGAATGATTAATAATAACAATTTCTTATACCTAATTATTCTTTTTTGTACTCACACAGTAGGGCCTCCGCCAACCTAAGTCCAATTATTCAATCTCTAGATCATCATAGTGCTCTGGGCAATGATTATGCAACGCCGCCACCGCCGCCACCTTCAAGGAGGTCTCCAACGCCTCCAAGAATGTCTCCACCGCCTCCAAGGAGGTCTCCACCGTCGCCACCTCCAAGGAGGTCTCCAATGCCTCCAAGGAGGTCTCCAACGGTTGCCCCACCTCCCTTGATGACCAAGAAGCAGCCAGCTCCTAAGAGGTTCGCCCCACAAATGAAGTCGTTGGCCCACCAGCCAACAAAGAAGAAAGTCTCCTCTAATCCAGTTATTCCCCAAAAACTGTCTTGCGAGAAAAGTGAAAAGAAATTAAATGCTGCAGTACAAAAAGATGTGAACAATTTCTTCAAAAAAGTAAGAAAGCAACGAGAAGCGAGGGAGAACCCGGAGAAATCGTACTTCTACCTACCTCCTGATCTTCTAAGCAAGAGGGTGGACCAAAAAAAGCGGGAATCTCAAAAAACCCTGCCAAAATCGAACTACGACCGCTCTCTCACCAAGTCATTTGAGGCGGCGTAGAAAAAGACTAGAGCAGGGAAAGGTGTTGCACAACTCGAATAACAATCGCAACAATCAGTCCCCCCTCTTGTCATTTGTAATGAATATGGTTCAAACTTAGACTTACTAGACGTCGATTTTGAGGACCTAGTTCGGTTTTATGAGGATACTGGTTTGGACCTTGCCCAAGTGCTCGCTAAAGGACCATCTGCTGGCTTGAGCCATGAACCGACAGTGTTGTCTTGCTCAACACTGCCGGCTTGAGCCATCAACCGACAGTGTTGGCTAGCTCAACACTGTCGGCTTGAGCCATGAACCGACAGTGTAGGCTTGCTCAACACTGTTGGCTTGAGCCAAGAACCGACACTCTTGAAGCAACTATCACTGTCGGTTGGGACTACAAACCGGCAGTGTTGTTCAACTAGACACTGCCGTGTGGAGCCAGAAACCGACACTGTTTCCTATAGATCAGTGTCGGTTTTTAAGAACCGACAGTGATGTCAACCCCCCATCACTGCCGGTATGCCACTGTCGGTTCAAAATCCGGCAGTGAAGGGGGTTTTTGAATCGATAGTGATGTCCAGATCTGGGGTAGTGGGACTTCATCAACCAGCATTGTTCGTAGTAAAGGGACATCGCTACAAACATAGTGGGAACGTGACGTACGAAGTAAAGGAACCAAACCGAGAATCTAGGATGCTCATAGCACATATTTGTCTCTTTCTCATCATGCATTTAGATTATATGTGATTCTATGTTTATGTAAATGTTGTATGATAATTGATGAAAATATAGATCTGCAATAGAACAAGTTCTCATTATACATGTATACCGAGCTAAAAAACTTTTTGGCTCACATACCCCTTTGTACCATGGTTTAAGTGACATCCCATGTTCCACGTCTATGTTCCTTGGCCCCAACATTTCAGGAACCTTAGTCCCTGAATTTAGCGCCTAGACATTTTGAACCCATGGTTCGAGCTCTGGTTCCACAAGCCGTGAGCGAGCTCTGGTTAAGTGGCACATGTATGAGGAAAGGGGGGAAGAGAAAGCACCAAATATGCTCGGTAATGTGGTGGAGAGATGATCATCCGGGGGCAGCAATCTCATGCTTGGCTTCAAGCGAGGATAAAGCATTATGTTCTTAAGATGCAAGCACTTTGCCGAATCTGGAATTGCCTTGAGGGCTGAGAATTTCCTTGAGTGCCAAAATGAAACCGCCAAGGAAAGGGTAGTTTTCTTGGCGGTTTACATAGATCTCCAAGGAAATATGTATTCCTTGAGAGTTGACATAAACTTTGGAAACTATTAATGACTTGTGTGTTATGATGTATGGACTTCATGTAAGGATGAATGATAAATGCACTTGTAATATTCTTATGGGTATGTTAATGCCAATATAATGGTTGGGCTCCATAACAAAATGTCTTTATGCATGTCATCATGTGTCAATTGAGTATAGTGACTGAAATATTAGCATATATTGATTACAACATTTATTTTTTTATTGCCAGTATAGATTTCCTTGGGGGCTGACCCTCAAGGAAATCAGAATTACCTTGGCGGTTAACGACGATCAAGGAAAACTATAATTTCCTTGTAGGTGAAGGGCAACCAAGGAAACAACAATTATCTTGGAGGTCTAGAGTGTTTCCTTGGAGGTTGTCAACCCTCGAGAAAACTAATTTACTTGGTGGTTGTAACATTTCCTTGTCATTTTGGCGAATTAAGTAGGGTGCTAGTTTTCTTGGCAGCCAGCCTCCAAGGAAATCATCCTTGAGTGCCAAAATCGCCAAGGAAACTAATTTCCATTGTCTTCTATCCTTGAGTGAGTTTGCTTGACAGGTTTGTGGCCATGGATCATTTCCTTGGCGGTTGAGGCCCTTTTCTTGGTGGTTTTTGGCACTCAAGGTAATTCGGGATTGTGGTAGTGAAGCAGCAAACATTTAAACCCCATCCTGCTAACTGTTTTTTATATGTTCACATCATCCATCAATTGTAGCATCTGGTCGGTGACGTTGGGAAAATCATGTCGGTTATGATATGTAGGGAAAAAAAATTTTGCAAGATACTTGCAGATTCAGTTAAGATTAAACAATCGCAGTGTTCAAGTAAGCTAAGGAATGAACAATTGAACTGGGGATATGATCGTGTTTTCTAGCAAGTATCCCTATTTCTGTATATATATGATTTAAGATCTAACATTAAGTAAATAAATGAGACTTAAATCAGTTGAGGAAAAACTATTTTTTTCAGGACGGTGACGGCAGGCGCGCGGCAGTGCGTCAAAGTAAACGAAGTCACACAAACAACGTCCGCATCAGCCAAACAGACGTACAATTCGCAGATGGTTCAGTTGATGATGAGTTGTCAGCAAGCCGACGACGACGCAAGCTAGAACGGAAGCGAAGAAGTAAACTAAAACAACGACAGGTTTGGTTCGATGCTGCAGGCAGCCGGAAATCTCTGTGCTGTCAGTCGTAGCTTACACGACGGAGCTAGCTGTTGATGGTACAGGTCACCGCCGGTGTAACAGCACAGACTCGGGTAAACGGTCAAGGGTCAACCCAAGTGAATCACCGTACCAACACATGTATCCGGCCGATAGTTGATTCACACACAGGCACACAGCGATCGATCGATCGATGTCCGCCATGGCAGCCGCTAACGAAAGCGAGCAGCAGGCTGCTGCTGGTGCCGGTGAGCCAACACCACCCGGCCCCGCAACTGCCCGCCCGCCGGCGGCCACGCTTGATGCGCAGCTGTTGATGGCTGCTCGCCGCGGCGACAGCAAACAGCTCAAGGATCTGCTGCCGCTGATCAAGGACCAACATTTATTTTTTTATTGCTAGTATAGATTTCCTTGGGGCTGACCTAAAGGAAATCAGAATTACCTTGGCGGTTAACGACGGTCAAGGAAAACTATAATTTCCTTGTAGGTGAAGGGTAACCAAGGAAACAACAATTATCTTGGCGGTCTAGAGTGTTTCCTTGGAGGTTGTCGACCCTCAAGAAAACTAATTTACTTGGCGGTTGTAACATTTCCTTGTTATTTTGGCGAATTAAGTAGGGTGCTAGTTTTCATGGCAGCCAGCCTCCAAGGAAATCATCCTTGAGTGCCAAAATCGTCAATGAAACTAATTTCCATTGTCTTCTATCCTTGAGTGAGTTTGCTTGACGGTTTGTGGCCAAGGATCATTTCCTTGGCGGTTGAGGCCCTTTTCTTGGTGGTTTTTGGCACTCAAGGTAATTCGGGATTGTGGTAGTGAAGCAGCAAACATTTAAACCCCATCCTGCTAACTGTTTTTTTATACGTTCACATCATCCATCAATTGTAGCATCTGGTCGGTGACGTTGGGAAAATCATGTCGGTTATGATATGTATGAAAAAAACAATTTGCAAGATACTTGTAGATTCAGTTAAGATTAAACAATCGCAGTGTTCAAGTAAGCTAAGGAATGAACAATTGAACTGGGGATCGTGTTTCCTAGCATGTATCCCTATTTCTGTATATATATATGATTTAAGATCTAACATTAAGTAAATAAATGAGACTTAAATCAGTTGAGGAAAAACTATTTCTTTTTAAGGACGGTGACGGCAGGCGCGCGGCAGTGCGTGTCAAAGTAAACGAAGTCACGCACAAACAACGTCCGCATCAGTCAAACAGACGTACAATTCGCAGATGGTTCAGTTGATGATGAGTTACGTTGTCAGCAAGCCGACGACGACGCAAGCTAGAACGGAAGCGAAGAAGTAAACTAAAACAACGACAGGTTTGGTTCGATGCTGCAGGCAGCCGGAAATCTCTGTGCTGTCAGTCGTAGCTTACACGACGGAGCTAGCTGTTGATGGTACAGGTCACCGCCGGTGTAACAGCACAGACTCGGGTAAACGGTCAAGGGTCAACCCAAGTGAATCACCGTACCAACACATATATCCGGCCGATAGTTGATTCACACACAGGCACACAGCGATCGATCGATCGATGTCCGCCATGGCAGCCGCTAACGAAAGCGAGCAGCAGGCTGCTGCTGGTGCCGGTGAGCCAACACCACCCGGCCCTGCAACTGCCCGCCCGCCGGCGGCCACGCTTGATGCGCAGCTGTTGATGGCTGCTCGCCGCGGCGACAGCAAACAGCTCAAGGATCTGCTGCCGCTGATCAAGGACGACGACGAGCAGCAAAGCTCGTCCGTGGCGGCGGGAGCACAAGACGTGGTAGTGGAAGTCGATCCTCGACCAAGGTTTTGGGATTCTTTTTGAAAAAATTCGATGCTCACCGAATTGGACGAAATTCGGAAATTTCGGAAATTTCGGACCGGTATCCAGCTACGTTGACCAGTCAAACAAACCAAATTTGAATGAAATTTGAGCAAATTTAAACAAGATTTGGCCCAAACGGCGCCAGACATGGCACGAGTTAAGGAGAAGGTGCCGACATTGAAAGCAAGCAACATGGAGCGGCGACGGCGCAAGGATGGCGTTGGGGACCGGCGACGGCGCGGCGAGCAGCGGTGACGATGCGGCCGCTAGCGTCGAGGAGCGACGACGGCGTGGCCGCGGGCTTCGGGGAGAGAACACGGCGCACGGTGGAGCTGGGGAGCGCACCGGCACTGGCACAGGCAGCAAGGCAGGGAGACGGCGCTGGCTGCGACGGCAGGCCATCGGACTCTGGCGGCGGGGAGTAGCGGCGGGGTGAGGAAGGGTTACGGGAGCAGGGATTCAGCATTTTATACGTGTACTAGTGTACGTGGGCTGCTTTTGACCTGTAGAATGGGCTACAAATTTTAAACGGGCCGAAATATTTGGGCCGGTTCAATCTTTTCTCGGGTCAGGCCGAATTGGACGAATTTCACTGAAATTCGGTCAATTCGGGCCGAATCCCATATCCTTGTCCTCGACCTCCTCCTCATGATGCTGTTGCACCACTACCCTCCTCTGGATCGTCGTCACCGCCACCAGTCCCGGTAGTCTTTGATGAGGATGGTGTGACCATGGAAGGGGACTCCCTGCTGCACGTGGTTGCGGCATGCGGCGACACGCAGGAGTACCTCGACTGCGCCAAAATACTGGTCCGCAACAAGAAGCGCAAGGGCGGTGCAGATGCAGCGCGCCTAGCCCTGGAAGCGCGCAACCGCAAGGGCGACACGCCCCTGCACTGCGCCGCCGGTGCTGGGAACGCCAGCATGATCTCTTGCCTCGTTGATCTCATCGCCAACGACACCACCGACGACGAGGCGGGGGCACCGGTGAAGAAGGCGTTCCTGAGGATGCAGAACGAGTGTGGAGAGACCGCGTTGCACCAGGCCATCCGCGCCGCTGCCGACAACAAGCTTAAGGTGGCCTGCATCGACCAGCTGATGGACGTGGATTCGGAGCTGGCCTGCATCCCATTCCCACATCAGGAGGAAGATGCTGGTGCTTCCCCGTTGTACTTGGCTATCTCACTGGGTGAAGTCGAGATTGCGCGGCACCTGTATAGCAAGACTAAAGGCGGCAAGCTGTCCTATTCCGGACCACATGGCCGTAACGTCTTGCATGCAGCGGTTCATCGTGGCCAAGGTAAAGCTAATTAAACTAAGCTAGCAGGTTAGTTGCTACTCGTAAATACATGCGGTTTAATCTTCCTCTCTCTTGGCTGCAGCGCTGCCTATGATTTTGGAATGGCTCATCAAGGACATGAAGCCTAAAGAAGACAGTAGTACTGTGTCTCTTGTGTCGCGACTGACTAGCGAAAGGGACAAGAAGCAGAAGGGAAGCACCCCTCTTCACTTGGCCGCGTCCTTGTCCGGGTGGCCAGGCGCGGGGTTTCTTTGCACACGGTTTCCCCAAGTTTGGCCGACGGCGGAATCAGTGGCTACACTGCTACTGGATGCTAACATATCCATGGCATATCAGGCGGACGACGAAGGATCCTACCCCATACACGTCGCTGCATGGTCTAACAGCATCGTTATCGTGATCCTGCTGGGGAGGTGTCCGGACTGCGCCACCCTGCGAGATGGCAAAGGACGGACGTTCCTCCATGTCGCCGCCGAGGAGGGATGCCACGATGTGGTTCGATATGTCTGTGGAAAAATGCCACAGCGATTTTCATCGATGATTCTGAATGCGCAGGACAACAACGGGGACACTGCGCTGCACGGCGCTGTCCGTTATGGGAACCTTGCCGTCTTCAACTGTTTACTTCGGAATCCACGGGTACGCTTGGACGTGACAAATAAAGACGGGATGACACCACTGGATCTTTCATGGAGTATGACCCTTCAGCAATTCTTTATTACGTGCTTGTAAGTAAATATCCGATCCTTTTCTCGGTTCGAAGCAGCTAGCTCGTTTATTTCCTCAAATTCTCTTCTCTCTCTCTCTCTAGTTATTTATTTATAGTTATTTTTAGTCATTTTTGTTCGATTTAATTAGGCTTAGGACACCTACCTTAAATCAAACAAGTTATAAAGACCGTTATAAATGCTAGTATAATAAAAAAATTATTAATCATAGGAAAATTAAAACTCGCCTTAAATGGGTGACTATTGTATTGTATACAACCGTTGTCAGTTTAAAAAGGGCGAAAGGCAACAAGCCACGCAACTACGCATGCATTGCTCACGAGCTCATGTGACCAGACTATATGAGTGATGCGGTGCTAGTTAAGGTTTTGCAGCTCTAAATCCCGATAGTGAGTCTCTGTTTTTTTTATCCTTAAAAGCGAGAAGGGGGAGAATAAGGGATGGATAGACAACCGAGAGAGTGACTGACGGAAAGAAAAAGAAATTTATCGTATTTAATATTACGCAAATAGGCCCACGGGTGGCAACGGGACATACAGTTTGTTGCACGGTGTTCGTATCAATGAGAGCTAGCTATTTTTGTTGGATTAAATTGGAACTTGGCACAATCTTAAATCAAATAAATTCCAAAGCACATAGTAAATGCTGATGTAATAAAGGATCACTCGCAACCGTCCAACAGGGATCCGACGGACCTAGTATCTCTTATGTCATTATGAGTTAGAGCAGTGTGTCCAAACACGATATTGAGTCCAGTTCCAAAACAAATTGAAGTGTGGAGCATTTACTATATCCATACAAGTTAGAGCAGCATGTGTCCGCCACTCTCTCACATGCCCTCCTTACAAGTTACACAGCAGAATTTTCAGGCATGGTGTGGAGTCTGATCATAAAACACATTAGAACGCATGACACTATTATTTATAAATCTCTAACCCTCTCATACCCGTACCAGTTAGAGCAGTCATAGTACGGAATTTGATTCCGAGACAGATTAAAAGACGCTATCCTTGAATAAATCTTTTAGCCACAAATCATTCATGTGATCACGCAACAAGCTGCACGTACTGTTGCAACACTGAACATGTTTGCTAGTTAATTTAGTGACAGTAAGGTATATTCATTCAATAATACTCACGTACTCTTGCAGAATCCAAGAAGTGTTGTACGGCTTTCATTGCTCTTTGCAGGAGCTCCTCATGGTGGAGGCCGGCCGGAGCTCTTCTGTGAACAACACATCACCAAAGGAGACGAGGACAAAGAGTCACAGAAACATACAGATGCAACGCAAGTGATGAGCATTGTCGCCGTACTTATTGCGACCGTCACATTTGCATCAGCTTTCACGTTGCCTGGTGGTTATCGATCCGTCGGGGACTCATCTAGCAATAATCACGCTGGGACGCCGGTGCTTGCTGGGAGCTATGTTTTCGACGCCTTTATCCTTGCCGACACCTTGGCATTCGTCTGCTCCACCTTGGCTACCTTTAGCCTTGTCTATGCCGGGGTGCCGGCCATGGCCATCTCCATCCGCAACTACTACTTCAACATTTCGGCCGTGTTGCTGCAGAGTGCAGGAAGGAGTTTCGTGGCCGCTTTCGCCTTGGCCTTGTACCCGGTGCTGGCTCCAGTTGATCATACAATTGCAGTGACTGTCTGCGTCATCATTTTGCATCTTTGCTCTGGGGAAACGTGGAAGCTTGGCGGATCACCTGTGGGGCAAACACGGTCCGTGCTCGAATTGGGATACGGCGATTTCCAGTACGGGCTTACGTACGACAAATATTGTTTGATGTCTTGGTACACTTTTGGTCGTACATAATAATCCTTGGTCTCCCAGCAATTCGGAAGTGGGCAAGTAAATAATAGGGCATGTGTCAAGATGGGAGCTAGCTAGCTAGCATTATTATTATCATGTCAAAACAATTGTCCACCTATGTAACTAATGCTCCATTATTACATTTGGGTTTTATTCTGCTAGCTGCTCAACATCATGTTGTAATAACCGGTATTATTGCTACTCAACAACTCTTTTTATTTCATTGTTAATATCTGTCGGATACCGTGAGAAGGGGTACCCTAAGCAAGATCCAAAAAACGACTGCTTAGATTTCGTAAAGACCGAAACCAGCTAAACGCTGCTGGCCTCGGCCGATTCTCCGACTCGCCCGAGGCCCCATCACCGCGGGCCTCGGCCGATTCTCCGACTCGCCTGAGGCCCCATCACCGCGGGCCTCGGCCGATTCTCCAACTCGCCCGAGGCCTCATCACCGCGGGCCTCGGCCGATTCTCCGACTCGCCCGAGGCCTCATCACCGCGGACCTTAGCCGATTCTCCGATTCGCCCGAGGCCCCCTCACCGCGGGCCTCGGTCGATTCCCCGCCAGAGGCCTCGGCCGAGGCCACCGACCCTCCGTCTCGCGCAAGGCGGGCTCGGCAGCACTCCGCTACCTCTTCCTTCTCCCGTCCCTCTGGTAAAACGTCGTGTCGCATCAACTCAGCCAACTGCTGCCCCTGACAACAGCCGCATACCCGGCACAAGATGCAGTGAGAATGGCCGATGGGGACAGAGGCGGGATCTGGGCGGGGTTACCCGCCCATCAGTACTAACCACCGTGCACATGGTTGGCGCCCATGCCTCACTATGCGCCAACTCCTGCACCGAGGACAATGCGGCGTGGGGAGCCACATCTGGCTCTGTGGCCTCGGAATCGATGACCCGGAGCAATAATTCCCTCCAAGGCCTCGGCAGGCTTGCTCCGAGGCTCGACAGCCGAGGACCCATGTCCGCCAAAGCCCCCCGCGATGGCTTGGCCTCGGCACCTACAGAGCCACAGCCCCCTACGACGTCATCACGCGATGACCTGCACGTCCCCCGGACTGGGCAGGGGTTACCCGTCACTATGCTATCCACCGTGCACATGGGTGACGCCCATGCCTCACTATGCTGCCAACTCCTGCTCCAAGGACAACGCAGCATGGGGAGCCACGTCTGGGCTACTGTGGCCTCGGAATCAGTACCCAGGGCCAATAACTCCCCAAGGCCTCGGCGGCTTGCTCCGAGGGCTCGACGGCCGAGACCCATGTCCGCCAAAGCCCCAGCGATGGCTTGGCCTCGGCACCTACAGAGCCACAGCCCCCTACGACGTCATCACGCGATGACCTGCACGTCCCCCGGACTGGGCAGGGGTTACCCGTCACTATGCTATCCACCGTGCACATGGTTGACGCCCATGCCTCACTATGCTGCCAACTCCTGCTCCAAGGACAACGCAGCATGGGGAGCCACGTCTGAGCTCTCAGGCCTCGGAATCGCATACCGGGCCAATAACTCCCCCAAGGCCTCGGCGGCTTGCTCCAGGGCTCGGCAGCCCGAGGACCCATGTCCGCCAAAGCCCCCGCGATGGCTTGGCCTCGGCACCTACAGAGCCACAGCCCCTACACGCGTCATCACGCGATGACCTGCGTCGTCCCCTTGATCAAGCAGGGGTTACCCGTCACTATGCTATCCACCGTGCACATGGTTGACACCCATGCCTCACTGTGCTGCCAACTCCTGCTCCAAGGACAACGCAGCATGGGGAGCCACGTCTGGCTCTCGTGGCCTCTAATCGATGCCAGGGCCAATAACTCCCCAAGGCCTCGACAGTTTGCTTCACGGGCTCGGCGGCACCGAGGGTCCATGACCACCGAGCCCCCACGATGGCTCGGCCTCGGCACCTACAGAGCCACAGCCCCCTACGACGTCATCACGCGATGACCTGCACGTCCCCCGGACTGGGCAGGGGTTACCCGTCACTATGCTATCCACCGTGCACATGGTTGACACCCATGCCTCACTGTGCTGCCAACTCCTGCTCCAAGGACAACGCAGCATGGGGAGCCACGTCTGAGCTCAGGCCTCGGAATCGCATACCAGGGCCAATAACTCCCCAAGGCCTCGACAGCTTTGCTTCACGGGCTCGGCAGCCTGAGGGTCCATGACCACCGAGCCCCCCACGATGGCTCGGCCTCGGCATCTGCAGAGCCGCTGCTCCCTACGACGTCATTACACGGCGACCAGCACGTCGCCCGCCATGTCTGCATCAAGCCCGTACTGGAGCCCCACGACGCACAAGACCGAAGTCGACCAAAGATGTCACTTCCAGACGACAAGGACGGGGCCACTCCATCGACCATACCACAACAAAGGGCCGACTACGAGGCTCGGACACGCCACCCCATTCTGAAGCGCTATGTAGCACCACAGTGCACGGTCCCGGTCCTCCCTTAGAGTATAAAAGGGAGGGATCAGGGCCATTCTGGGGGGCAGAAAAAGACGAACACGCCGATAGAACCACGCACTCCTCTGCTGCTTGGGAACAACGCCTCAAGCAGCCCGCACCACACTCGCCGAGACTTGGGGCTAGTTCCTCTCTCACCTAGCTTGTAACCCCTACTACGAAAGCACTCCGGTGCAAGGAATACAAGATCGATCTCTCGGATCGGGCGTAGGGCCTCGATTGCTGAACCAAAGATAAACCTTGTGTCTCTTTGCGCCACCATCCGGGATTAGGGGCACGCAAAGACAAATTCACTCGTTGGTTGAGGGACCCCGGTTCCAAAACACCGACAGGTTAGCGGCGCCGAGTAAAGGCGCATGCGTGTCGCCTTCGTCATCCTAGCAAGTTCCGGATGGCGGACTACATACGACCATTGCGTCTCGGCACCATATTTTGGTGGGGAGCCTAGAGTTCATGTCTCTAGGGCATGAGTACGACATGGTGCTCCTCACTCCTCGAACCCCACCGTCCGACGACGAAATCGCCCCCAGCAAGTAGCGAGGCGGCGGCGCCGGCGGCGCTCTCGCCACGCCGCCCGAGCACGACGCGAGCAAGGCCACCCGACGCTTCACGCGAGCCCGAGGCGACACGCCTCTCCCGCCGATGTCCTACGACCAACTGTTGTTGTGCGGGTCCCCGGCTAGGGACCCGCCTCGACCCGGAGCTTCGGCGAAGGAAAATCGCCGGTGGCTTACGGCGATGCCCGGTCGTCTAACCCGCCCCGCCACTCCTCGAAGAGCCGACCCGGGCGGCGAGAATATGGAGACGGCCCGTCCCCCATACCCCTTTGGGTTGAGAAATGCCGCCGCCTCTTACGCCCTACGCTTACGCTGCCACTCACGAGCACCCCTTGAACGCCGCCAACCTCGCTTCGCTCTCGACTTGAGCACCCGCTCCGACTCCAAAATGATTCGCCGCCAGTGATTCGCGCAACTCGTCGTCGATCGGTGATGAAAGAGTCAAGCTGCCATGACCCCAAAATGAAGGCGTCTTGCACGATAGTACGTCGCTCGAGGACAAGTTCGACGGCCTCGAACTCAACCACGCCGCTCGAAAGTTCAACGAGGCCGCAGACGAACTAGCAAAGATGGCGTCGCACGGACCCCGGTTCCCCGAACGCTTTCGCCAGAGACCTCCACAAGCCATCCGTCGACTACGCCGGCGATAGAAGAGGGCCCATCGACCGAGCCCGCCGCGCAGGGGCTCGAGGCCCCTCTACCACCGAGACCCTCGCCACCAAGCCCGAGGCCATGGCGATTGATTTGCAGAGCCTCCCAGCCGACCCGAAACGGATCAAGAGTCCCTTTCCTTGATCGCCTCGTTCGGGAGAGCTTCCTGGCGATGAACCGAAGCTCGCGGCTTCGCGCAAGGCGCCGCTAAGACTTACGCCCTCTGCGACGACGAGTTGTATAGGCGTAGCCCATCCGGTATTCTCCAACGATGCATCACCACCGAGGTGGCCAATCCTTACTTTGGGACTTGCACGCGGAGTCTGCGGGCACCACGCGCGCCTCGGGCGCCGTGGTAACGCCTTCCGCCAAGGTTTCTATTGGCCGACGGCGGTGGCCGACGCCACGAGGCTAATACGCTCCTGCGAGGGATGCCAAGATACACGCTCGACAGACGCACCTCCCGGCCCAAGCCTCCAAACCATCCCCATCACATGGCCATTCGCCGTATGGGGGGGTGGACATGGTTGGGCCTCTGCAAAAAGGCACCCGGGCTATACCCATCTGCTTGGTAGCTATCGACAAATTCTCCAAATGGATCGAGGCTCGTCCGATCGCTTTCGATCAAATCCGAGCAAGCGGTGCTTGTTTTTACGGATATCATCCACAGTGTTCGGGTTCCTAACACCATCATCATCGACAATGGGACACAATTCACCGGTCGCAAGTTCCTAACGTTCTGCGACGACCACCACATCCGGGTGGCCTGGTCGGCCGTAGGACACCCAAGGACCAATGGCCAAGTAGAGCGTGCCAACGGCATGATCCTACAAGGCCTTAAGCCAAGGATATTCAACCAGTTGAAGAAGTTTGGCAAGAAATGGCTTGCCGAACTCCCGTCAGTCATCTGGAGCCTAAGAAATACCCCGAGCCGAGCCACGGGATTCACACCGTTCTTCCTGGTCTATGGAGCCGAGGCCATCCTCCCCACTGACTTAGAATACGGTTCCCGAGGCTCAGTGCATACAAAGCGAAACAAAACAACCGCGCTTTGCCCGCCAAGACGCCTCGACCAGCTTGGAGGAAGCCCGAGACGTCATGTTGCTACACTCGCCAGTACCAAAGCCAAGCCCTCTGGACGCTACCAAGCCCGGCGCGTCCGAAGCCGAGACCTGAAGGTGGGCGACCTGGTGCTGAGACTGAGGCAGAGCAACAAGGGCCGCCACAAGCTGACCCCACCCTGGGAAGGGCCGTACATCGTCGCTCAAGTGCTGAAGCCCGGGACCTACAAGTTAGCCAACGAGAAGGGCGAAATCTTCACCAACGCTTGGA